CTGGTATGCCTGTTAGAAAATGTATTCCACATACCAGATCTGTCTGAATACTGAAACACTTTCCTGATTCATTTTACTTATGTATTTCAGAGAGCTGGTATTATTTATTAGGGGTTTTKCTAAAGACAGAAGTACTCACTGAAGTTAAAATGGTAGTCTGTGGCAGCTAAGGCCACACAGTGAGGATTCCTTGCATAGTTACTCATATTCTACATGCAGTAATTAACTTAGTTGTCATGTTTGGGCACTTCTTGTTGTCACACAATTCTCAGACAAATTCTGTGAATTATATACATTTAGAAGTCAGTTTGAAAAAAAATATGACTAGAATGTATTACGTCACTGAATTCATTTCAGCCCTGCAAAGGTAGCTTTGTCAAATCCACCTTTTGTGCATCATTCCTCTTTTGATCTGCTTGGTCAGAAATRTGATTCGATAGGTCATGAGCTTCCATTGGTAGCAAGGCAGTTTACCAGCTGTCTTCAGGCACAGTGAAAAGCTTCGTCTTTTTAAAATTTATTTAATATTACTAAGGTTTAATCTATTGTTAGAAGTACTTGATGTTTGTAAATCAAGATATATAAAGCATCTGAAATTATTTTTGATGTCCTTGCAAAGTTTTTAGACCTCTGAAACTATGTTCTTTCTATGAAAACATTTGCATTGTTTCAGATAAAAGTACAGTCGTTTGTAACATGCAAACTGGACATGAGATACTGYTTTGCAGTAGTTACTAATCTGCTGATGAATGATTCTTGTAGAGATTGGAAGGGATTTGTGTAGGCTGCAAACAGAATGTAATGAGTTTCAAAAATGTAAGCAATTTAAAATACTGCTTGGATCTGAATTAAAATGTTCAGAAGCCACACACAGTTGCTTGAAATCTTGATCCTTTTTAGCCATCCATAATACCATCATTGGTTTTTTTTTTTTTCCCCAAAGTATGTACGTCCACCCTAAAATTGTACTAAATCAGGTTTCTGACCGGCAGCWGCCATCCTGAGTATCTTACTATGCAACTAGGGTCTGCTGTTGGAGGTTAGTGTCTCAGGAACTTTATAAGGGTATAGACATATCTTCTCATCTCACAGGCAACAGCAGCAATAATCTCTGAGTCTTTTTTCTGGCTTTAGACAGCTGTCTGTTTTCTCTGGTTTTTACAGGTTCTTGTGATGACTTTTACCTGTTTGGGTCAAAATAAGCTTTTTTAGCAGAGACCAGCTGCTTTGTATTTTAAGCTCACGTGCCCTTCTTTGTGAGTGAAAAGCAGGAGGGCTGGTTGGGCCACTTGATGAATAATCATGCATTTACCCACTCAGTTCTATCATGTGCTACTTTGAGCTGTTTTTGAGAGAAACTTGAGGCTCTGACTTTGAGGGCTATGGTGTAACTAGTCAAGTTAATTCCCAGGTGATTACAGTTCACATTGCAAAAATTCCGTTTGTACTTTGAATACTGTGATGATTTGTGTATAATGTCATAGGTGTACCATGTTTGCAGAGGAGGAACAAAGACAGCTGGAACTGAGTGAAAGCATAGGTGTTGCGCAAGAGCAGAATTTACATCTGTTTTTGTTGTATTGTGTTCCAGCTCAGGAGTCTTTGCATCACGGAACCAAAGAATACCTAGATATTTTATGATAACCTAAAAAAATTGTTCCTCAGGCACTGGTAAAATGGTTGTTATATGGTGAAAAATTGGATAAGCTTGAAATCWCCCTTTGCTGCCTTATAGTGTTGTTATGTCAAAGGACTGTATAGCTATCTCTTTGCTGTGTCTACAGTGTTGTGGGCACCCACTGAAAAAGTCAACAAATTGACCAACTTGTTATTTGTCAAGGTATTTCTGTGTGATGTGAGTGTCTGCCTTCTGTGTGTTTGTGAGGTTGGTTCATTGTCTGTAGGCAGCTGTAAGTGTAACCTGCTATTACTGTTTTGGGATCAGGATGGCTCTATTATTGCAAAGAAAAGAGGGCTCATCTCAGCTGTGTGCAGTTTTGTTGCCACATTGTAAAAAAGGGCACTTGGTTTATTCAGCSTAGAGAAGAGGAGGCTGAGGAAAGACCTTGAGTGGTCTGGAGATTCCTCATGAGGGGAAGCAGAGGGGCTGGCAGTGATCTCTTGTCTGTGGTGGCTAGTGACARGACTTAAGGCAATGAAGCTGAGCTGAGTTCAGGGGAGATTTAGGTTGGGTATTAGGAAAAACCTCTTCACCCWGAGGGTGGTTGGGYGCTGCAACAGGCTCCCCAGGGAAATAGTCACAGCCCCAAGCCTGACAGAGTTCAAGAAATGTTTGGACAATGCTCTTGGGCACATGGTGTGATTCTTGGGGCTATTCTGTGCAGTGCTAGGAGTTGGACATGATGAATCTTGTGGGTCCCTTTCAACTTAGGACACTCTGATTTAAAAAGAAATGTATTGCCTCTTAGCCACTCTTACCTCTGTAACATCTTTTCTTCCTTTATTCCTCTTCATGTTCGTGATGGTTTATGGGAAAAAAAAAATGAACTGTACTCATTAATATCTTCTGTATTACTGCTTTCAGCACATCATAGTGAATAAATATTATTTTATCAGCCCACTTGGCAATARTGACCATTAACCTGATCGTTAACTGATGGGTCTCAGATGGAATGCTGAATGCATGCTTGTTCCAAAATGGCAGAATCTGCTTCTCCTTTTTACTGTAATAAAGCTGCTTCTGTTTGCAGCACTGTGTTGCTGGGAGACCGCAGCTAATTTTTATGGCGCATGTCAGTAGTACTGATTCAAATTATACATTTCATTGAGTAGCTCTTCTTTTTGTTTGTAAACTACCTTCTATAAGGGGAGAGAATTTTTTTTTTTTTTGTTCAGGGGAGAACAGTATCCAGAGACCAGAGAATATGACTGAATCTGGAACAAAAGCTCAGACTGTTCTGTTGGTAACATCATTGTRCTTCAAAAGTCACTTCAGGGGGATGGTGGCCTGGCTAAATTTACACCAGTCTGATAGTCAAGTCTAACACAGGTATACAGGAGAATTCCATGTGAGGCAAGCACATCTCCTCAAACTGCTGTTTTTCTTTTTCAGACTCCATGGTGCAAACCTTCAGCATGTGGCGTGACTTTAAAGCAAAACAACAAAATAGACTGAGAGAGTATGAGTTGGAAAACTGTCGTTTTGGTTCACAACACAGATAACGGTGGCAATTTTGGGGTTTTGTAGAAAATGCAGTCCTTTTAAAAATGATTGTTGCATAGCTTGCACGTGGATCAGGACATGCATGCAATTACATTGGCAAAAAGTGGGTGTAATTGGGCATGCACCTAAGTGGAAAAATACATGTATAAGGTGGAATCTGAGTAATAAGTAAAAAATCTTTTGCTTGCTGAATCTGTACTTCTTTTCTAGCTAAAGGAGATGGTAGTCCATTTTGTGCTGTTCACAGTCTGCTTAGGTTTGTGGCAGTGTCTTGTTTTTAATCTTGCTTGAGATGCCTCTCTAAAATGGGGTGTGTGTRTGTGTCTGGAGCCTGCTTGCTTAAACACGCGAGTCATGTCAGCTGCAATGCGGCAGTGCTTGGTGCTAATGAGGTGAGCAGCCAGAGCACCCGTCTGCTTATGTTTGCTCATCTCTGTGCAATTATGGCTGTGGGGATTGGAAAAAGGGATTTGTATTGGATGTGGCTCTGTTTTGGCCTTTCCAGAGTGTGGTTCTGTGTTCTCCTGAGGACTGGGCAGCACATTTCAACTTCCATTTTGGGAGTTAGGTGGTTGCTTCACTACATTTAATGCAAGCTCTAAAATACATCCTGGCTGGGAAAGGAAAAGAAAAAAGGAAAGTACAGAGGGGAACCCCCCGCTTCTTCTCTCCCCCCTCTTCCCCAATTCCCTCCCAATTAATTCTAATGCACCTTGAAATGAACTATATTGCTCGGCAATTTGTGCCTTCAGGTAGAGTAGATACAAGTCTGTATTCGTAAAGTAGCATCTTTGGAATAGAGTAATCAAGTAACAAAATCTGGTTAGATCTGAATAGTTACAGTGTGCCTTTGGTAGGCACAAAATGCAGATGCACTGTGATTTCCCAGCTCACCTTTTTGTTTTGTTTTGTTTTAACCCTTAAGGTGCTGACAGTAGTGTGAGCTGAGTATTTTATGTTGAAGTCATAAAGTTTTGCTTTGAACATAAGGCAAATAAAGCGAATATCAAATGTGGTTTGTCTTTTCCCGTCCTCAGATGCCAGACTGTCTCCATTGAGCTTGATGCCTTCCCGTCCAATCCTGTCATATTCCTATTCCTGCAGCTTGTCTTTCAGTGTTTCTTTTTCAGAGAATTAGCCTGTAAAACTATAGGTCTTGATTAAGTGCTATATTGATATTGGTAGCAAATCTGGCTTTCATTCCTTCCTGCCTTTGTCACAGGGTGCTTCCCTGTTAGCTGGTAAAGTTATYTCTGAGTACTAATTTAATATAAATCAGATTGTTGAAGTTACCTGTTAAAAATACTGCTGGTTTTTTGTGTTTTTTTAAGGATCGTATCTAGTCTCTGTTACTTTGGCAATATGTTGTGTAACGTGATACCACAAACAGAGGGATCAATACAGCTGGGACTGGGAAAGGTATGAACTGCATCCTGTAGACAAGAACCAGCGGTGGGAGGCAGGAACCTCCTGAGCTGTTGATACAGCTGACGTGAATGTAGTGTGCAGCTTACACCCGTAGAAAGGATGATGTGTCAACCTATAAAAAGTGTCCTTCACCCTGGGAAGGAGCACAAGACTGTGGGCCCTAATAAAGTCTGGTTTTTGCTTACTCCTAAAAAGTGGGTTGAGAGTGACATGTATGAAACAGCACAGCTGACATGATGCATGCTAGGGAGCATTCTGCTGTTTTAACACTCACTGTTGAAGTCTGGTATCTCTGTGATCACAGAGAGTGTGGTTTTTCTTTGCCTGTTTACCTTTTCCTGAAGACCTTATGACTTAAGACTGGGATGTTTTTCTTTTCCTTCTTTAGGTCTCCGGGTGAAAGGGGAGCTTATTACTGCTTACCCACAAGTGGTGGTTGTGCGTGTGCCAACACCTTGGGTCCAGAGTGACAGCGACATCACAGTCCTTCGCCACTTAGAGAAGATGGGTTGTCGATTGATGAATCGTCCTCAAGCCATCCTCAACTGTGTCAACAAGTTCTGGACATTTCAAGAGCTTGCTGGTCATGGTGTGCCTCTTCCAGACACTTTTTCCTATGGTAAGGCTGTTGGATCAAAAGGATAGCATAGCTACCTACCACAACTTACACAGTTGCAGTGCAAAAGATAGGAGTCAAGTTTTGGAAATCCATAGAGATTTAAGTAGTTCCACAGCTAAGTGTTGAGTAACCAGAAAAGAAAATTAAAGTCGTGATTCTGGTTTTGTCTTTCCTCATTAGCTTGTGATGCTTTGAAAAGAGTACTTGGACTGTACCTCAGCCTTCCAAGCAACTGACTTTGGCTCTTAGTGCTTTGATGCTTTCTGTTCTTCTCCAGTTGCCCGAAACAACAGACAAGAACTTGGGGTACTGAATGTCATGAGGTACTACAGAGAACTAGACTTTGGTACAACCTGAAAGTAGATTAAACTCCTATATGAATGAAAGTATCTGCAAATATATTAATTTTTGTGAAAGGACAAGACTAGCAAAGAGTTCAGCCCTTGTGTTCACCTTTTAACAGTAGTTTGGAATTTGTTTCCCACCAGAACAGTTATATATTGTTTTATTTTGCATGCTTCTAGGATGCCTGGTATTCTCTGGTTCCTGACAGAGCGCTAGATTAGAGGAACCATGTGTCTGAGCTACCCTGATGCTCTATCTGCTTTTAATTACAATCTATTAAAGAACTGAAGATACCCCTCAACCTTCCTTTCCTTCTGAGAAAATACCAGTGTTTTCCTCCCCTTTGTGTGATTGCATCAATAGGCTTTTGTAGTGGCAACTTGACAAAATGAGAAAAAAAACTGACAAAAGCAAAAACATGGCTTTCTATCAATTACTATGAATTACTATTTCCATCAATTACTGTGAAAACACATTTGAGAAGAAACATACCCTTTCTTTATACATGTGGTTGCTCTAACTCGTTGAGAAAGGAATGAGTTTTTAATTTTTGAGGGGAAGGGAAGACCATGAATGATGCTGAATAATTGCAGAACATATCTGTTTGATCATAAATCACTCCCACTTGTTAGTGCCTGCCTCTGGAATTTGACAGAAGCATGACTTTCATATCTTTTCTTCCTTTTTCTATTTGTTTTTTTTAAACTACAAGTATCAAGTTATGAGTGARAGTGACTTTTCCTAGTAAAGCAGGATGTGCTGAATGACATGTTACTCCATGCGATACATTAAATTCCATGGCAGGGTCATGATGGCTACTGCTGGCTTTATGACCACTGTCTTGGCTTGACTTCTGCACTCTACTGCCAGTGTGTTAGAGGGGGCTCGTSCCTTTGTCTGCTGACTTTTCTCATCTGTATTTCATGTGTTGTGGTCAGCCTTCTTTGAACTGAACACAAATAACCTTGAAGTGTCAACCCTAATTGTGTGAATGGCCCTTAAAAGCTACTCTCTAAGGTCCTTACAGGTGCAATGAGATTAAAAGGTTGAAGTACTACTTCAGGATATAGGACGAATGAGATACAGGAAAATTAACCTTCAAAAGGGGAGAGTGGACTGACAAGGTCTGGGTTATTGCTGCTCTCTGGATTATGCCTTGTCATTGTATTCTGTGTTGCTTTCTTGGTTTGTAGTTTGGATGGAAGTGTTACTAGTGTTATGTGTCTGCCATTCTCCTGTTACACATTTGAAAAGATGGGATTTGATAAAGCAAAAGGGATAAACTGGAGCAAGATGGTAGAATTGGGGCATTTGGATTTGGAAGATTAGATTGAGCCTTTTGAAAAGAGGCCTTTGTTGACTCGTGTCTTTAATTCCAAAGTAGGAGTTAGTATCGCACACATCACAAACACCTTCAAAGTCTGATCATGCTCCATGATCAAGATCCTCTTAACTGATAGTTTTTTCTGTATTATCTAAGCTGTAGGGGTGGGAGGAATCTATGGCAATTACATCCCAAATTTGGCCACACCAGACTGGTGGCTCATAATGTTGTTGGTTTTCTTTTTGCCAGGTGGTCATGAGAATTTTTCCAAAATGATTGATGAGGCGGAAGTGCTGGAGTTCCCTATGGTGGTGAAGAACACGCGGGGTCATCGAGGTGGGTGTGAGGTCAGGGCTGAAGGCAAGGAGTATTCTGAGCAGCACTCCAAGATTTTGTCTCGTCAAGGAATTATAGTTAAGAAGGTCTTCTGTGAGGTGTTAGATTWCTTTCCAATACATCTGAATTCTATCACCCTTTGAATTCTGAATGTTGAATAGACTGCAGCACTGGGAAAGAGTTTTAGTAGGACCCRGTCTTGCAAAGGCGAGGGGGGAGAGTTCATTATTATGGTGCATTGATGACTTCTGGGAGGAAAGCTTTGAACTGGATTACTGGGAAGTCTGGCCTTCGTGAAGTCGAAAGAAGCCTACATAGTTTAAGGATGTTTCTAAATRGGCAAAATAAATGAAATCTCAGTTCATTCAGTCACATTTTTTCTACTCGACTTAGTCTATAAATAGGATYCTGATTTAAATAAAGTCTTGGATACTGTTTGTCAAACTGGATCTCAGTTTTTCAGAAAAATACCTCTGATGGTGTTTGTGGTATTACAGCAGTTTCAGATTAAATAATTCTGTTGCTGATCTTTTGTTTTAAGTATTGAATATGGAACAAAAATCAACTTAATTTAGTGTTAGTGATTACTAAAGGAAAGCAGGATTTCAGAGGTTATTTGCCTAGGAAGTCGCTCTGTTTTTAATATACTTTAAAACAAAATTAATAAATACTAGATGTATATAGAGACTAAAAATGAAATCAAAGCACAAGTATAAAGAGATTWAAAATGAAGTTAAAGCACAAAACCAGGAGTTACTTTAAATAAAACCATAACTAAAAGACACCACTTTTTCCTTCCTTCTGTCCATCAGTTTGTTCCCACTCTCTGYTGCTCTTTTCTTCTGCTGGCATGAGTTCTTCTATAGGTAGGCATGTAGTAAATGGATTCAGGAACTGATATTGAATGGATCTAGATGGATTATTTTTACTCAGATTAATTCCTTACATGACTTAGCATTTACTCACACAAATGCTTGTGTTAATGTAATGGAAGAGTGAGAGCAAAGTGCTGGGGCTGAGGAAGATCAGACCTACTGCTGTTGGCAACAACACCCTTTAGTGTGGTTTTAAAGTATGGGTGGGGCTCTAAAGCCAAGGTGGAGTTTGATTTTGCAGCAAGCTGATTTTGACACCCATGGAATATCAGAGGCAGTGCATTTGACTTGACACTGCCTCTTGTGAAGATCTACTGAATTTTAGAGTTACAGCTCTTGACTTTCTTCTCCCTTTTTTTAGCCAGGATTCCTGTAATTCTGCTTTCAMGATTTGCTTTAGAGCATTTTAAATTCCAGGCATTTTAATGCGGATTTATGCAAAGTACATACCTTTTCACATTAAGAGAGTTGGGGAAATTTTTTCAGATTAATTGATGAGCAGCGCTTGCAAATTATATTTAAAGTAAATAGGCAAACATAGTCATGGGTACTGGCTGATGGATAAAAGTTGTACTGTTCTAGGCTCATTTTATGCACCGTTTGCTGTTGCTACAAACAGACCAATTCTGGTTTTACCAAGATGTCATGATGCTGCATGGTTCCCAAGAACTAAGTAGCTCCCCTCCAGGGCATCATTCTTCCTATTCCCTTTCAGGAATATAGTAGAATTAATTTCTCGTAGGAGAGATAAAAGTTTGGATGGGAGAAAGGACACAGAGGTTTTTTCTTGCCATGAATTTTAAGCTTACATTCTCAGTTCCTGTAATGAGAAATTCCATGTTCTTCAAGCAATGTTCAGTGTTATGGAAACCTTAAATCCTGTCTAAACAGAGGCTGCTTCAGTTGGGCTTAGGAGCACTTGTTGGAATTCTTTACACATTATTTATCCTACTTCTGCTACTGCTGCATTTCTGTTCCCTTACTTAAGGAGTGCAGTTTATCAATTTATTTTTGTACTCTGTTAACATAATAACATGATTAAATGACAGTTCTGCCATAAGAGAAGGTGTGCAGCCTTATTGAAAAACATAAATGTAATATGACATAGAGCCCTTAGAAAGGGGAAAGATTTGAGAAATGCAGATAACAATGGAAAGGGGTGCAGTCTTGTGAGACTGGAAATTAGATAGAAAGTGATAGAGTCTGTTTCAAGAATGACTTTAACCAGTATTAATACAATTGGGAAGGAACAAAGAAGTGTGCTTTAGAAAGGAAGAGGAATGAAATTACTTACTTTAGCTTAAAAAATCCAAGTCTTAGAGATGTTTGCTTGCAGAAAAGCTAGAGATTTGTAAAGAGGTTTTTTTTCAGTTGTAGGATATTCCATTCATTTTATATCTTGTGGATTTTCTGCTAAATTATCTTGGATACTTGGAATGGAACATTTTCCTCTGAATGTAGCTGTTCCACTGCAAACCTTATTCTGGAGTTGTGAGCCCTTTTAAGTATTGAAGAGCTTCCTAATGGAGGAACTTTGGAACTTCCTAATGGARAAGCGGGTAGTTCTGCAGTGACATACTAGAGACTTGAGAGTTCTTAGTTGCCCAGTGTTTAACAGTTTTGTGTTGTTTGTTCCTGTGTGTCAAAGCTGTAGGCTGTGGGTCCTCTCAGATGAACAAAATTGCTTTTAATTAAATGTCTGCTGCTCTTTAAGTATTTCTTCCTTTTTTCTCTCACTAAGGGCTTGTAYCACAAGAAGTTGAAACTGCAAGACCACCTCCTTTATGTAAAACATTTTTCTTTTTTCTTTTTCCTTTTTTCTTWTTTTTTTTAAACTCTTGTCTCTTCAGCTCTGTCAGTACTTGAAMACTTAAAAGCACTGAATCAGTGGARCACTRTTGTCCATGGAAGAATTTGTAAATGGGTATAAGCTACGGATGAGGCCTRTGAAAAAGGACAGCATACTTGATCAGAGGTTTTACTTTCATGTGCTGAATTCATTGATGCAGCTTAGATGGGCAGCTGCTTTCAATATCCCCATGTTCTTTCCTCCATATAGGTAAAGCTGTGTTCCTGGCACGAGACAAGCACCATTTGGCAGACCTAAGCCATTTGATCCGTCATGATGCTCCTTACTTATTTCAAAAATACGTTAAGGAGTCCCACGGCAAGGATGTGCGCGTCATCGTAGTGGGAGGCCGTGTGGTGGGCACCATGCTCCGCTGCTCGACAGATGGGAGGATGCAGAGTAACTGCTCACTTGGTAGGAAAAGCATTGCTCATAGTTTTGATCAGAATTTTTCAATCCAGTTGAAAAATGACAAAGCCAACTGAAATCAGCTGCAGGTGTTCATTGTGCTTACTGCTGGGGGTTTACAGGGGAAACACAAGAATAAGGATTAAGTAAGCATATTGAGCAAACACAGAAGGAGACAAYGTCTGCTCATGGTATTAGATGGATAGAATGGATGACAAGTAGGGGAAAGTTCTAGAGTACAAATGGAGCAACTGATGTGATAATGGCAGTTTGATGCTAATGCCATGTTATAATTTGTTTCATCCTGTTAAGTGGGGCAGAAAAAGAAGGAAGATAGGGAGCAATACTTAAGGGAGATGGCGGAGGCAGCCAGTTGGCAACAGGGTAGAAGAAAATGTTAAGAGAGGAAACTGTTGAAGGCAATAAACATCTTCTGTGCTGCCTTAAGTCTGTCAGGTTCCTCCCTGCTACCTCTTCCCCCAAAGACCATATGTGGGTGCAAGAGGAGCTACTGCATTGATTGTAGCATACTGAGAACTGAGATTCTGCATAGCTTTGGGTGTCAGACCCRGGAGTTTCTGCAGGTAAAAGGAGGAAGGATGGTTGAGGGTGCCTGACTGAARCTGTGCTGAACCTGAGCAGGGATGGAATAAAAGGTGTTCATGTGAAGTGCAGTCTTGGTTAGTSAAAATGCCTGAGAGGTTTTAGTTTCTGCTTAATGCAGAGGAAATATAGCCTGAAAGATTTTTCTGCTAAGTGGGTTTTTTTTTTTTTTGGTTTTCTTTTCATTTGTTTGTTTGTTATAGTTTGGGTTATTTGTAAACTTATGTATTGTGATAGATGAAGTGTGAGCCAGTTTATACTTAGATGATGGACTACGAACCTAACCAGCTGAGGTTAAGACATCAATGTTCACCAATKCTTGCTTTAGAGACAAGAACCTGTGATAGCAAGTTCAGAGGGATGTGAGCAGATGATATTGTCTTAATCCCCACCCCCCCTCAATTATATCTACAGTTAGATCTGTAGTCTTATTGAGAGCTCTAGGTTTAGTTTGGCTGAAAGATTTCTTGTGATAACTTACAAACATGTAAGGAAAACCTCTACCTTAGAAGGAACATGGGTAGTTTGTTAGTTGATTTTTAAAATATCCTGGGATCATAAAAATGTGTATTTTTTCTTGACTAAAAAGTCATCCCTTAACTGTTTTTTAAGCAAGTCATAATCTTGACCTGACAAAGGCGGGTCAGAATGTGTTGAAATCCTGCTATGCTATCAAGTTCATTAGTAGTCACTGTGCAAAGGCAGTTGCTTTCTAAGTGTGCTTGCAGGCTCACTTTGAAGCTCCCCARCCGAAAAGCACCGACCAGTTGAGAAGGATGTCAGTCACCTGTGACCTGAGCACAGACAACAAATTTTTTTTCACTTTTTCCAGGTGGTGTAGGAATGATGTGCTCACTGAGCGAACAAGGCAAGCAGTTGGCAGTCCAAGTGTCAAACATCCTGGGGATGGATGTGTGCGGCATTGACCTGCTGATGAAGGACGACGGTTCATTCTACGTCTGCGAGGCCAATGCAAATGTAGGTTTCATTGCCTTTGACAAGGCTTGTAATTTAGACGTAGCTGGTATCATAGCGGACTATGCCGCTTCCCTGCTGGCCCCCGGCCGCTTGACGCGGCGCATGTCCTTGCTCTCCGTGGTGTCCACGGCCAGCGAGACTAGCGAGCCAGAGCTGGGCCCTCCAGCTGGGGCCGCTGTCGACAACATGAGTGCTAGCTCCAGCTCTGTCGACAGTGACCCTGAGACCACGGAGAGAGAGTTGCTCACCAAGCTCCCGGGGGCTCTCTTCAACATGAACCAGCTATTAGCCAATGAGATCAAGCTCCTTGTGGAGTGATGCCACGTGTAAATAGGTGTCCGACAGAACTCTCTCTTGTAAATTTTTTTTTTAACCAACTTGCAATGCTGTTTATCAGAGACGCTCAGAGGAATGAGGAAAGGGGGGTGGGCATGTCAGTCAAGAGAGCAAAAGTAAAAGGCACATGTGCTGTGATTGCTGTCCCAACTCTTTTGCAGAACATAAAATTGTCTTCATTCTTCATCAGTTTTGCAGTGGAGATGCTCAGTTCATAACCAAGCGGCAAGTTTATTTGGATGCTGCTTTGGTCCCCAGATGTATTGCAGTTCATGTGTCTTCACAGGCAAGCATTTAAGCGTGATTCACGCTTGAAAGTTTTCAGAAAGTTATTTGGCAGCTCTCTGGAAACTTCTGTGAATTACTGCACCAGTTAAGTCTCTTCTACCTCTGTAAGGCTTGATCCTGTAAATTGCTSAGTGCCTCAAATTCTTTATGTGAGTTGAAGGTGTTAAATACCAAGTATTTCAAAATTCCTGGACACTTGCTGTTCCCTCTCTTGCAGATTGGAGCTGTAAGTTCAGGATCCTTTTAAAGTCATCACTTTCTGATCTTGCAGGATATGGTCTTTCAAATGATGAGGCTGAGAGAAATGTCAGTTGACTTAATGTGAACTTTCTGTAAAAATGTGTAAATTGTACCATCTTGGTATTAAGTGGCAGCTTTGTGTCTAAATTTCTTTATAAAGCTTTTAAAGGAGGATATTAGTACTTCCTGTTTTTTTCATTTCAAATCCTGATTTTGGAAGGTGTGCAGGAGAATTGGTCATTCTATTTGTGGGCAGAAGTGGCAAATTTTTAACTATTTTTTGCATGGTTGGAGGAGATAAACAGCACTGTAATGTTTGGTATACAAAATGTTTAATCTAATGTGAAAAAGAATTACACTAGTTTAAAGCAAACGTGCATCGACTTGTATTTGTTAGTGTTTTAGTCTTTCTGAGAGAGATCTGCAATGTTAATGTTCCTTTTTCTTTAATACATGCTAGTCCAACACTCCCTTCTCTATGCCTGCATCTTTAACAGTGGCCAAAGTGAAAACACTGCAGACTGTTTGTTAAGAAAACACAGAGTTATAGCTTGTACATTGGTGGGGGGGTTGTTTGTTTAATTTTTTTGCTTTTTTTTGGAAGGAGGARTGTGGTAAGGTGTGGAGGAGGGAAGAGCTAGTTAAAAGTGATTAGTCATCCAGAGGAACTTTAGAATAAAGCTGCAGTTCACACAATACTTACCAGGCTTACTTTTTCCCCACTGATGTTGGCATAAATCCAAAGAGTGTAACTGGGGAGAAGTACTCAGTTCTTAGCTTTGGGAAACATGTGGCAGATTTTAAAAAGCAAAAAGAAAAAATAAGG